TAAGAAGCAGTACCGTTAGCAAACAGCTGAGAGCACTGAGATTTTATCCGACAGCATGTGACAATGGAACAAAATGTCAGGGGTGGCTGGGGTGGGTTTTTTTTTGGCTGCTGCCCTACCGTCGGGCTTTCTCGATGAGATGAGACAGGGGGATTTTAAAGGGCCAAGTCTCGAGCCTACTCGCATCTCCAGGGTGCCTTTAGTGAGACTACAACATGTCCCTAGAAGTCTTCATCTAAATGTCCGTGATTGCTCCTGCTAAATGAGGACAGGCAGATGAATCAGGCTCCGTTCGTGCCTGAATACTGGCCCTTCTCGCAGGCATGCTGAGGACCTCTGTGACTAAAACACTTCTTTTCCCTTTTAGAAGCTGCAGATGTTCAGCACCTGCAGAAAAGGAGATATGTTCTTTTTTTTTTCCCTAACCCTAAAAATATGATGTGTTTTGTGCTGATGGATAAAAGGGTTGCTGGCATTTTAGAAAGCCTCTTTACCTTTCCAGTGTCTCAACACTTCCTTTTTTCCTTTCCCTTTTTAGATCTTCTCAAAGGCTCTAGGAACCTGTGAAGCATTCAGGCACAGGCTTGAGCTTTGCGTCTCGTGGGCCTTTAAGGCCAGAAAGGATGATGACGTTCATATAAGTCCCTTAATCCGACAACACCGACACCGGTCCTGGCGCGTTGGTTTCCGTTTTCATCTGGCCAAACGATGACAATTGATGTGAGTTTGTTCTGTGCGTGCAGGGGTCAGTGCACACAGAGACACGGAGAGATCAGGTGGCTTTAAATGTAATTTTAAAGCGTTTGTATGACTGTAGCGCCGGCTTGATGACCCTGAAACCCCAAAGTCCCCTGATAGCGAACACCAAGCAGCAGTGAATTTCATCAATGTTATTGAGCGGTGGCCTCAAGAAATGACCTTTATAAGAGCAACTTTCAATTACTAACGTGCAGCCCCAATGAAGGGCGGTTCTGGGAGCCTCTTTTTAAGGGACTGGTGAAAAATGAATGAGAAGAACAAAGTTCCTGTAGCTCATACAGCAACCTATACATCTGACTCCTCTGCAGAGGTCTGCATCCCCACCTGGGCACACATCGCAAGAGGTTGGGCACCAAGGGACCCCCCCCAGCTGTTCCAGCCTGATTTCTAAGACAGAAATCAAGAGGTGTGGGGAAAGAAGTGATAATTTTAAGACTGCATTTTTGCAAGACCTGCATCCCCATCCCGTTCCCGCAAGCACTGCCAGAGGTGTGCTTGCTCTTGAAGCTGGAGCCGACACTCCAAGGCAGAGCCAACCCACCGGGCTCATTGATGGCGTGTATAGAGCTGATTTATGGCAGATTATTTCTAAAACAAGCTAACCTGTGAGGGTGACCGCAGTTCTGCGCAGGGATGCTCCAGGTAGGGCAAAAATAGCCCTCCTCAGCTAAGAGCATCCTTCCCGTTCATTGGCAGGCACCTTTGTGAAACAGCCCAGCTGTCTGGGAGATGAGAAATGCCCTTTTCAGTGAGCAGCTTCACAGATGGCAGTGCTGTGGATCACAGGGAAGCAGGCTGTCATGCAAGCTGAAACGGCGTGGGCACATACGCGTGCACGCACACGCGTGCGCACAGCCGGCCCTTCCCGGGAGCTGCGGTTCGCCTGCACGCTGGAGGCGAGCTGCTGGGAGTCGGAAGAGGAGGGGTATTTCAGGCTAGCATGAGAAACGGGGCTGTGAGGAAGTTGGGGAGCCTTCATTCCGCGCGAAAAGATCTGGAGCATGAGCGGGATGCTGTGGTGTTGTTTTTTTCTTTTGCAGGACTGAGCATGCGAGCGTCCTGTGTCACTGAGCGTGCATAGAGGGAGGTGGATGTGGGGAACCGTGGGCTAAATCCTTCCCCCTTAGCCTTCCCCTCCTCTTCCTCAGGGACTCGCTACGCTCACCGAAGTTTGAAATGCTTGGAGATCCTTGATGGGAGGTGCAGGCAAGGTCACGGCATTAGGCAGGAGGTTGGAACACAAATCACTGCACCTCCTGTTATTCTCCTACACCTCCTTCTCCCCCTCTCCGACCACCCCCCTCCCTGCCAGGCCACTGGAACAAAACCCTGCTAGCACAGTGCAATTCTTGCTAGAACAAATTGTTGCTGGCATTGTAGGTTATTTAAATCCACATATTATCTCTTCCTCTGTATTACATTAGCTTCCTCCCAAACCTTCGCCATCTGTTCCACCCTCGGTTATGAATGTGAGAAAACTGAACATGCTGCTTCACAGCTACAGCACTTAAAAAGTACGATGTGCATCCTAATGGCTTCTCTGTGCGCCTTTCCATGCACCTTCGTTAGTGCCTGGGATTCACTCAAAATAGCCATTAATGGTATGTTGCATTAGGGGCTGTTTACCTCCGGTGTTGCAGCTCAAGCCCTCCTCCCCGGGCGGGAGGTTTAGGTATGATGGCTCCAGCGAGCAGGCTGGGATTTGCCTGGGAGGTGGGAGCCTCGGCAGCGTGTCTGACTTGGGCTGGCTGGGGAAAGACAGCGGGACTGCCAGTGCCAGCGATGTCCCCGAGGAAGACCTGGCTCTCAGCGAGGAGAACTGGTGGTTTCATTCCTCCTTTGGGACCCGTGGCTCTCCCAGCTCCCTGCTGCCGCACGAGGTCACGTTATGGAAGGTGCTGGACCATCTGGGAGTTCCACAGACTTCAACAGGGTTGACGTCCGTGCAATTACTGCTGCTGCTTTTCCCCTCTGAAAGCCTGACAGGCTCCTAATGCTGCCTGTCATTTCTCTAGTGCTTCACAAGCATCTGTGCTAGCAGGTAAGGACAGCCCGGGCTGGCCTGGGCGACGGTCGTTTGCTCAGTGGAGTGTGCTCAGGGCTGCCTTCCTTGGAGCTCTTTTTTTTTTCTGGACTGGCAAGACGCATCCTACGGTGCAGTCCACTGGCAAACACACTGTGTTCAGCTCTTCTTTAATGCTGTGTGGGTGCTTTCAAGCCTGCGCCGAAGCTTGCAAGATGAATAGGAAGCCAGAAAGCTACAGGGCTGTATGTGTGTGTGTGTGGGGGGGTGATTTATCTACAGCCACAGCAGGGAAGCTGTGGCAGATCTGTAGGTTAGTTCTTCCCGCATCCCGGCTGCTCACGGGCTGCAGATGCCATCGCTCCCTCCTCTCTCCCACCCGTTCCTCTCGTCCCTTGGCTGCAGGTGCCGACCCCTTCGTTCTGCCGGAGGAGCGGGGATGCTGTAGGTACGGCGACGGTAATCATACGTTACAGAGCATGATGCCTCTAGCCCAAACTTTGCGCATGACTGACAAATGCCATTTCAGTTTCATGATCCCTGCCTCTCAAACAACCAAGCATCATCTTCTGTTACCTTGACAGGGAGATTTAGCTCCTTTCTTCTGCCAGAGCCTGCAATGTCACCACCTGGGAGTTACAGATTTTCTGTTTCACCTGCGTAGGTCTGGCCTGGCTGTGGGACACCCAGCAGCACGGGACCCCCCCAGCCCTGCCCTGTGTTTGGCACTGAGTCGCCACGGGGCAATTTGGAGCGGTGGTGGCTTCCCCACCGCTCCCACCAGACCCCCATCACCTCCCCTAGCAATGCCAAACCAACAGGGAGAACAAGTGAGGAAGCTGCTCTCAATGGTAAGTCTGGGAATCATCAAAAAACAGGGCTGGAAAGGACCCGAAAATCACACAGCTCAGCCTTCTCCCAGGGCAGGTTCAGCTCTGTCCAAGTTTGATCCGAGCTGCAGATGTCCAACCCGGTCTCAGACCACCTCCTCCCTCCCAGCCACCACGGCCTCTCCAGGCAATTTATTCCAGCCCTCAACTCACCGGTAATGGCTAATAGCTAACCACTGCCTCTAATGCTTGAATTTAAGCCCATTAATTGCATTCAACGAGAACAGGTTATTCCCTTCCACTTTGCAGCACCTGTTTTATGTGTTTGAAGATCGCTCTTTCCCCTCTTCTCTAGCCTGAACACCTCTGTCTCTTCCCAGCAGCCTGTTGTTAATGCCCAACGCATCCTTGTCTCTCCCAAAACGAGGAGCCCGCAACTGGATGTCTCACGAGCAGTTATCCTCCAAGTCCCACAAGCTATGGTCCTGCTTAGAAAGCGTGCTTGTGCTCCTCATAGTAATATTGACTGATGTTTGGCTGTAATCTGCTATATGACCCTGATCTGCTAAGCTCCTGGCTAGCCCACTACCCTTGCTGTACTTGCCTTTTGCTTTCCCTTCCCGGGTATTTCATCCTCTTGTCTGCATTTTGCTGAGACCCTTTTGCATTGCATCCCCCCACACTGAGGGGCTCGTACCCCCTCCTGGCTCAGCAGCATCCACAACCCAAAAAACCCCCTAAGCTGTATCGCACTGTGCAGATCAGTACAGGGAAACCTGAGCAGCGGCCAGCTCAGGAATGCAATCCCTTTGCTCCGTGACCATGGTTCCCTCCTCCACCTGGTTCAGATCTAGAGTACAACATGGTGACAAGGCCATTGCTTCAACAGACAGTGCCGTCACATAGCGGCAGGGTGACGGAGAGCCGCCGCGAGTTGACGCAATGCCCAGCTACCAGGATTTAAGCACTGATGTTGCAACGGGGTCCCACCACGCTCTCAGGCCAGCGTGACGTTCTGTTGCCATAACCGAACCACAAGGAAGTGTCACCAACACCTCGCCTACTCCTGTGGCTTTTCCACCAGGTGAACGCTCAAAATCCCAGCAATAATGTATTATTAATAATAATGTATTGTTATCGCTGGCCCCGGGGCTGGGTTGCAAAACAAACTCAAACTTGCTGTTCACATCCTCCCGTGAAAATCCTGCTATTCCCACCAAGGCAGTCTGCGGAGAAAACCCCACACCAACTTCCAGCACACGCTATTATGCAGGTTGGGAGAAGGGAGGAGGGGGGATTCAAGGCACAAACCCACGGTAATTCAGGACCACAACGGCTCTGCACCGGGTTCCTCGGCCAGATTTCAACCCACAATTTCGCCTACTTACCGTACTGGATTTGAGCGCATCCCCATTGTCCTCTTCGGATTCTAGTGCAACAGGTAAGGATTTCTGTGGCGGGGAGAAGGTTAAGTCCCACCTTAGTAGCCGAGGTTCAGCTTTGTCCCCGAATCTCAGGTTTTCCAGTTTCTGCACTGTGGGCTCAGCAGAGGAAGCTGGCCTGAAATTCTCTTTGTTCTGGGACTTAGACCTCAGTCTCTGAACCCCGAAGCCCCGCTCTTCCCCGCGGTGGTCGTCAGCCATGCTCCTGCAGGGTCCCCCTTTGCTATAGTGTCTTTTTTGGGTGTGAATCTCTTGCATATAAGAATCCATCCTCATGAGGGGCTTCATCTCCATCTCGTAATTGCTCATCTTCTCCTCGTCTAGCTCAAGCAGTTTGGAGCTCCCTGAGCTGTGGTTGTGGGACCTGTGGTGGGAAGTCCATGAAACTGTGGCTGGGGAATCTGTCCACCTCTCTCTCTGCTTGTGGTTGGAGGCCGAATGTTTGTGTCCTCCGCTCCGACCTCTGTAGTCTTCAGGGACGGAGGCTGACCCCAGCTGACCGCTGCGCAGCGTCCCGCTTCTCACGCCGCGAGTCCCACCGACCTTCTCTTCGCTCCAGCTGTTGGGTCGCAAGTAATCCCCGCCGCGTCCCTCCAGCAACATCTGGATCTCCCCACCCCTCTCTTCGTCCACCGAGACCTGCCTGGAGAAGTGAGCGCTCTTGTTCCTGCAGGAAGGACCCAGGGGCGGCGTGGAGGAGGGACTGGCAGGGAAGCTCTGCAGCGGGCTGTCATCGGGAGTCAGGTCGGATGGGGTGGTCCCTTTGCGGTACAGCTCCGGACTCTCTTGTTGGAGAGGTGTCCCAGTGGAGAGGACCTCAATGTCATCGCTCGAGTTCTGGCGCTTCGGTCTCTGGCATTCGAGCCCTTTTTGTGTGGTCGTTAAGAGAAAAGAGAGAGGGAGAGAAATGCAACAGGATTATTTCTATTCTGCGGGCGCCCACCAGGTTTTTCACGGCAAAGAATAGGGCTGAGAGTGTTGGACGGCAGGGGGACCGCGGGGCAAGAGCAGGACAGCAGCAGCGTAGCACAATAAACGGCTTCTGCTACTAGATCGAGAGAAAAGGCATCGCTGGTTTTACACCAGACCCGCTATCAACCCCAGCATCCGCAGAGCAGCGCGATGCAAGCGGCTGCAGCCCGGCACAAGAAACAGTTTGGCATCAGCTCCCCGCATTGTCAAGACAGAGGCGTTCTGCACTAAGGTTGTGTTTCTCCACTGCTGTTACCCCAAGGGCTACCAATCCTTTTAGAACCCCCCCCGGCACCACCGTGGCTCTCATTTCCAGCTGATTCAAACAGGCTCGAGGGCGGCTGCTCCTTTAGCACCCGCAGTTCTGGCCGCCCCTGCTGCCGGTGGGCACCCTGCTTGCTTGGGGACACGCGTGGCAGGCTGCGTGTATGTACTACAAGTAAAAGGACTTGCAATAGTTGCAATGTGGGGAAGCCACTCATGATGCAGAGCTGCTCGGGCCCTGCCTGCGCTCTGCCTACGGCCCCGCGTTCCCTGGCAGGTCGCGGGGATGCAGCAGCAAGCAGCCCCGCTCGAAAGCAGCTTGCGTTGCTCCACGGCACCATTCGTGCTCTGTGCATGCAGTCAGTCTAACCCCACTAAGGGGGTTATGTCCCCGTCCATTGACCTTTTGGGGGGGCATCCATCTGGCCACCTTTTTCCATCAGCTCCAAACCCAGTTTGCAGGCACGAGAGGGGAAATCTGAGCTGCAGCCGGTGGTAGCCCACGGCTCACCCCGTGCCCTGCACTCGTGTACTGGGCGCTGCTGGGATCACCCCGTGCCCGGCTCACTGCCGACAGCCCTCACACCTCTCCCTGGATGGGAAACACACCGGCTTTGCAGCTGCGAGGTGCAGAAGGGGAATCTCATCTCAAGGTTTTCCCAGGGAGATGGTGTCATCTGCGCAGACGTGCAAGCCTCCCATTAAGAAAAAAAAACCCACAAACCATACATCGAACAGCTTTCCTGCCCCGTACAGACAAGGAGGACATGGATGTTTCCCCACTCAGCCCCGCTTGCTGGATGAGGTGGAGAGCACATGTTTAGGCAGGAGCAAGGCTGCGCGCTCAGGGCTATGTGAGTACAATATACACCAGCATCCTAATTTCATCGTGCTGAATGCACTTCACTCCCTCTGAGCCCAGAGCACACCCCAGACACTGTCTTCTTGGGGACAGGGACTGCAAGAGCGGCTGAGCGTCTTCTGCTGGAGGTGACCTGCTGGCAAGAAACATGTCGCTTTGCCGGACATTTAGAAAAAACTGCAACTTACCAATCATTGATGAAACACCAAATTATTTCAAGGGGGTGCAAGCTAATAGTGGTTAATTCTCATTTTACCCTCTCAAGGCATAGTTGTTCCCAGCTAAAGCCATGCTAAATTACGTGAATAATTTGATAAATATATTAACTGCCTAATGCCCCTGAAACGCATCTAATTGCAATTGCTATGGCTAGACAAGAAATGAGTCTCAGAAAGGAAGAACTCAATTTCTTACCATGGTTTAAAAATAAATGCTCTGAAGCGCCTGCTCTAATCTCTCTACTTCTGCTGAGTAATTTTCTCTCTCGCATCTTCTTGGGGAGCTGCTGCCGCCGGGATGTGCCTTCGCCCGCAGCCGTCCCCGCGTCCCACCGCGCCGTGGTCCGGATACGTGCGGGGGATGCCGGGAGCGTGGGGATGGATGTCCCCATCGAAGCACTTGCAGGGGAGGTAAATAGTAACAAGGCTGCTTGGAAATTTCCTTCTTGATGGGAAATTGCCTTCTAATGACTGTCAATTTTTTTGTGTTATTTGCCACAGAAAATTCTGTTTGCATTTTGGGACAATACTCAGATCGTTCAGTCTTAGTTCATTCCCTGTGTCCCTGTTTGTCTGTGGGAGACTGAACCTCCTGGGATTTGTCTGGGGCCCCCGAGCAATCCTTGTACTGGTGGGAAACTGTTGTGAAGGAGAAAGGTGGAGTTCACCCCCTCCCTTTTCATGCAGAAAAACTGTCTCTGGGGAAATACACAGACGGATTTTGGGGCTGTTGTTCAGACGTTCCCGTTCCAGCCACCCTCCAATATCACAGATGGAAAACTGAGGCAGGGAGGGAATAAATGGCTTCATATCAAAAAGCTGTAAAGCCAGCTATTGAAGCGGGCTCACCCAAGACTTGGGGTGTCCCTGTTTGTCTCAGGCTTTGACCCAGCTTCCCCAGTTCAGGTCTCCAGGGCTCTTGCTGGAGTTGCAGGGACTTGAAAGCTTCTCACCAGCTCCAATGACCCCAAAGCCAATCTTCAATGACACAACCAGCCACAGCCTCGCTACACCCGCTGCTCCTGCCCCTTACCACCAGCCCCAATCTGCCCCGGTCCCCACGACAGAGGCAAGAAAGCCCAGTGATGCTCCAGCATCCTCACCCTGGAGACCCATACCAGGGACCACGTTATTAAGCACCTTCTCATCCTAAATCTTCCCCACCCAGACCTGCAATGAGCTGAGCTAATTCTCCCTCTCCGTGGGTTAATTCCCAGAGTTTTGCAGCCCCTGGCTGGGGCTCACAGACAAGCAGGGACCGGTGATGCTGGGGCACGGCTGCTTCTCCAGCCCCGGAGCCCTGGGGGGGCACAGGCGTTTCCTTGCGGAGGAACTCGACAGATGCACGGTGCCGTCTTGCCGGCTTTCAACACCCGAGGATGTGCAACAATTATTCTGAGCTAAAATTAGTTGCGGAGCATGTGATGTTCCTGGAAGAACGGTTGTGAGAGCGTGAAGGAGGATGTGGAGCACCAAATCTGGATTTCCAGCAGGATTGAGGCAGCCGTGCCCAGCCGCGGCATCTTCAAAGCCAAGCACGTGCCCCTCGGGTGCTGCCGTGCCCCTCGGGTGCTGCCATGCTCCTGAGGACCCACGTACAGGATTCGGGAGCGATGCCGAGCTTCTGCCTCTGCCACCGACATGCTACCGTCACCTTGGGGGAGTCACTTCACCAGCACCGTGTGCTGACCCTGCAGCGAGCGTGATGGGGATGTGGAAGATCCCCCCCAACAGACAGAGATGGAAAACCACAGCGGAGAGGGTGATGCACGCTACTGAGCAGGGATACTTGTTGGTTTTTCCAGGTGAAGGCTTTGCGGCACTGCTGCGGTGTGTCCGGGGTTGCTGGAGCGGGAGCTGGTGCCTGCCAGTCTGGAGACTGTGTCTGCTCAAATAGGTGCTGTGCTGCGGGGATGATCTGGGCCAGGATGCCCGTGGGGCTGATGTGGAGGTGGGCATGAAACCCCCTGTGCTACTGTGAAGGTGGGTGGCACACAGCACCCACCATGCTGGGCAAAGTGGGCACGTCCAGCACGCACGATGCTGGGCAAAGTGGGGCACATCCAGCACCCACGATGCTGGGCAAAGTGGGACATATCCAGCACCCACGATGCTGGGCAAAGTGGGCACATCCAGCACCCACGATGCTGGGCAAAGTGGGCACATCCAGCACCCATGATGCTGGGCAAGCAGCCCCTGCAGCACTGTGGAAGGTGGGCACGTACAGCCCCTGCAGCGCCGTGCGGTGTGGTGGCAGCTCGTCCCGTCCCTGCTGCTGCTCCCCCCAGCCAGCTGCCCCCCCGGCCTGAGGTTACGGGGTCTGTGGGGTGGCACAGCCGCTCGCAGCTATTATCTGCCTGACTTGGTCCGCCGGCGCTCCCAGGTTTCCCGACACGTCTTGGATGGTGTGTTTGTTTTTTAATGTGCTCTAAGTGGAAACTCCTTCCCCCCGCCCTTCACTCACACACAACCCACCCAGACGTGAGCACCAGAAACACAAGCCCCAACACAAGTCAAGCACCATGTCCCCGTCTAGAAGCTAGTAAAAAATGTATTACCTAAAAATATCTTTTCAAGAGGTGATTTAAAACAGCAAAGTCTTGGCAAGAGGAAATGGAGATGAGGAATATCTCAGGGCTGAAGAAGCCCCTGGGACCACGCAGCCCTGCGAAAAAGCTCAGATCTCCGACATACAAATTGGACAACAGTAGGAGCAGAAATGCTGAGGGGTGAGTAAATAAGGCTGTGCCTTCTTCCAGAGAGCTGCGCGGGGCACGGCTGCGAGGGGCTCTGCCCCCCGAAATGCCCATTTCATGGCTTTGCTACGCACCCCGTCCCAGCTCGGGCAGGTTCACGGCTGGAGCCAGACCTCAAACCCCGTCTGGCTCATCGCTGCTGAGCCGTGGGATGCCCCTGGCCGCCCCTGCAGCCTCCGTGCCATGGTTAAGTGAGGACTCGTGCATGGGCTGGCTGGTCCAAAAGATGCAATGATCCCTTTTCCCCGGCCTCGGGGAACGGCACCACCGACATGAGTCACCGGCACCAGCCCCTGGAGCAATTAAGCCGAATGAGTAATCTTCAGTTAGAGAGCTGGAAGGGGAGAAAATAATGATAGACGCCTCCTAATGAGGATTTGGTGCAGGAAAACTTTTGAATAAAACCATTCACATCTATTAATTACTATGTTAATTATTGCTGTAGGGACTTGGAGCTTTCCACTCCCACTCACAGCAGCCCCTCTCGCTCCCGGATAGGCGCAGCCTTGGAAGGGCAAATCCTGCCTGTGCCTTTGCCGGTTGCAGACCCCTGCCCGACCGCGGCTTCGCTTCGGCTTCCTTCTCCCTGAGCCTTTGCTGAGCCCGAGCCTCTTGTCAACAAGCAAAAATTTGGACAAACCGGCAAGAAACGTCGAAGACGATGGAGGGGAGGAAGAGCCACCAGGCAAACCTTAAATGTGCACTTCCCCAACATCTTTGCACGCTCACGCGACTGATTTGCACGCCCAAGTGAAGGATTAGGTACCAACGTGCTCTGCCCCAGCTCTGCAAGCCCAAGCATTCAAAAGAAATAATGAACCATAAAAGCCAAGGGGGTAAAATCTGTGACCGCCTCTGGGATCATTTGCATTCACGTTTTGCTTTCAGAGCTCTTGTTGGGTTTTTTCCAGTGCAACCATCAAGGACTACAAATTTTAAAAATGGGGGTGTTTTGGTGTGAAAAGAGGAGATCCCTGTATTGACAGGACTGCACAAGGTGGAAGTGTTGAATATTGAAAGCCTTGTGCTAAGACCCCCGAAAACTGGTGTTACGGGGCAGTTTCCCACCCCAAGAGTCCCGGTGAGGACCGGGAGCTGCGGGCACAGACCGAGCCTCCGCGCAGGGCTCATTTTGGGGGATTTTGGGTCTCTGCAGGGCCAAGCAGGGCAGAAAGCAGCACGGGGCCAAAGCCGCATCCGCGGGGCCGGGCGGCATGGCGGCACGGCGGCACGCACTGACCGTTTTCCCTGTGCTGGAAGGAAGGCGAAAACTCTTTGGCAGTGATCCTGGCGATCCGCGCTTCCTCCTGAGCTTTCTGCGCCGCCGTCACAGCCGCCTCCGCCTTGGCCCTGGAGTGAGAGGTCCTGCAAGGCAACCAGAGAGACAAGGACCGCGTTAGGCAGCTTTCCTCTGCAGACCAAAGCACGCAGAAACCCAACTTGCCCCCATGATACCCCTTTGCCCCGAGCCCCTTTGGCTGCGACGGAGGAGCCGCCGCCGGAACGGGTGATGTGACATCGCCAACACATTCGCGACCTGCTTCTCAGTCTGCAAATCACCCAGGCGATTTGGAAATAGGGACAAGATGTTTTGTTCCCCCGGGGATGCAGCAACCCGAAGCAGGCTGGTCCCCTCCATCACGCATCCCTCTGTGGAGGACCCCAGCCTGGCAAACATCTGCAGCAACCTCTGCGTGCATCTCCCGTCAGCCTCAGGCCTGAATTTAAAGCCGGTGGGGTTTTTTTTAACCAAAACCATTTGCTTTTGGATGAAAAAGTGAAGATTTCCACCCCCGCCACCACACATTTTGCGTAAAATGCTGGATGTAAATACGAGCGCGGTTTGTCACCGAGAGCAAAGGTAGGAGCGGGGGCTTGCTGTCGGTACTGCCTCTGACACCCCTTAACGCACCTTTATTGGGGCATTTTTTTTCACTCTGGATGAGTGACTGTCCCCTGCACTCACCCATTACCAGCGATTCCCCAGACACTCGTGTTTGATGGTATTTCATCCCATCTCTCAGGATTTACACCCTCTTATACAGCCGCTCTGCAGCATTCCTGCGAGGAGCCTTCGGAGGCTGGTTTGCCCCTTCCCCTTAGCTGAGCTATCGAGGCACTTTAAAAAAAAAAAAATGCCTGTTCCTACCCACCCTGGTGCAGGCAGCGTTATAAATAGCTCAGCTGATTTCTTTTCCCTCCAAAATCAGGCCCTCCATCTCCTTTAATCATTTTTTTTTTCTGCCGCTCTCTGAATTCCCTCTAATTTTTCGACATCTGCTCGGAGAGGAGTGCCATTTCTGACAGGCTCCTATAAATGGAAAATAGGGCTAGTAATGTGCCTGGCGTTGCATCGTGCAGCACAAACCGAGGATATGAAACCGGGGGTGCGTGCGTCTGTGTGCCGTCACCTCTTTGAGCCCGGGCGAGATGCCTGGTCCCTGCTCCTCGAGCTGACCTGTCGCTTGTTTTCAAGTGCTGACAAGTTGTCTTTGCTCTAATAAGTGCTTTATTTATATAAATTGGCTGCTTTGGAGTAGCCAAGGGAGAGGATATGTCCTGTTGTCCTGGAGCTATCGCAGGTGGTGGAGGGGCTGCGGTGATGCTGTTGCAGGTCCTGCAGGTCCTCCATGACTGATGCAACCAAAAATTGGTTTTAAATGGCTTTTTACCTGCCTTGGGGCCAGTGCTTACTCTGCTCAACACTCATGCAGGGTTGGAGGAGTGGACAGGCATGTTACGGCCCCATCCCCTGGTATCCCAGTTCAGCTCTTTTAGGAGGAGCAGGGATGCTCCGAGCAGGAGCTGCAGCAAACTCCTAGGAGAAGAGGCACAAACTGCTCCCGTTTTTGGCACAAATGTGGACGGTGGGAAAGGCTGGGGTGTCAGACCCCCAGTGTCAAGAACGGTGCTACCTGAGGCTTAAAATTAAGATGCTGACTCTCTCAGGTTGTTAAAAAGGCTGGCATCTTCCACGGGAGCTTCTCAGTGGTCTGGGCATCGGGTCCCGAAGATCCTCCATCCCTCTTTTCCTTCGCCATCTCCTCAAACTGGAAACTGTTCAGGGAAGGGACTGTCCCTCCCGTACTGCAGCACATTTATAGAGCAGGCTGCTGGCCCCCACTGGCCTGATACAAAGGACTAATAACGTCTGAGAGTGTCTGGACTGAACTCAGCAGGCAGGATTACACGCTGCCTTCCTAAACTCCTCCCCGGAGATGTAACTGGAGGCAGTTATCTGTCACTTCTTGCCAGGGAAGGAGGTTGGAAGTGCTGAAAAGCAGCTTCTGCCACTTCCAAGGGTCCTGGGGACACACAAATGTGTCTGCGGAGAGGGAGGTTGCACTGGAAGAGCATATGTGGAGCCACCACCCAAGCCATGCTCCCCTCTCCAGCATTCATCGCCTCCCCTTTTCTCATCAAAATGGGTCAAAATCACCATCCCTGGGGGATGGAGGGATTTCCAGCCCCGGAAAACTCACTCCGGTGACTTCTGGACTAGTTCACCCCCGTGGACTCCACGATCCGCCCAGGAAGAGCAGCAACTCTTCCACTTGAGAGTTGAGAGGCCCAGAAAGAGTTAAAAATCAATCACATTAATTAAGCCATCTCTGATCTAAAATATACTCAATACCCACAAAGCGGATATAACGTCGAGCGCTGCGCAGAGGCGCAGGCAGGCTTAATTGTTTGTAATGCTCTCTAAGATGCTTGGAGGAGAGGCGCTGTCGGAGTGAAAAGCAGAATTATGGTGATCTATACGTTGCATAATAAAATACATAAGTATTCCCAAATAAATGCAAGTAATCCAGTTAGTGTTCGCATGACTTTGTCACATACTAAATTTAACAGCTGTCTCTTTTATACATGCCTGCTGCTCGTAGCGTGCGCTAAATCTTAATTCCCCAGTTAATTGCTTGAGTTTATTTCCTTGTAAAGCAGGTCTTTCTCCCTGACACATAGACAGGGCCCAATCTAATCACTCTTCTCCTCCTGCCATAAGTGCTGCCATAAATCCTTCCCGGACAGAGATGCCATCCTGGAAACCACACTCAAAATAAGGCTGGATCCTTCCCTATGGATTCACCACAGCTGGAGGAGGAGGCTGGGGATGCTCAGAGGTGGGAGGAATTAAACAGATCCTCTTGCATCGCTCCTTCATTACCTCCTGTGGTGTCCTCCATCCCATAACGAGCCCACCGGACAAAAGCTGTTGTTTGATGGATGAGCAGAGGAGAAGGAGCGACACATCTCGGAGTGATGGAGACGGCCGGAGCTCTCTGGACATCAGCACCCCCAAGTGCAGAGGGACTTTTGAGGATGGTTATAACCTCTAAATCCCATTTTAGTGCATGTCACCATCCGAGCTGAACTGGGGAAGGGTGTTTCAGCAAGGATGGGATTGGGAAGAACTAGAAGGGTGATGGTGGGGGTGGTTTATAGCTCTTGAAACCCAAGGGTCCGGTTTGGGTTGGGGCAGAGTCCACACTGAGACTGGCTTGGAATATTTTATTTATTAATTTTTTGCCAAGCTGACTCACTCTTCTCGGAGGATGACCGGGCAAGTGGTCAAACTGGCAAGAAGAGCTGGCAGGAGGCAGGGAAAAATCGCAACCGAACAGATTTCTGTAAATCTTTGCAGATCTCTTGTGATTTGGCCAGGACTGACAGGAGAAGGGATAATACCTGGGAGTGGTTCATAATGCCAAGTTTATCAGCTCCGGCTAATCTATAAGAAGCTGGAATAAACTGATTTGAAAGGAAGAACTTGGCTTTTTAGGAATGCCAACAGTGACTTGGGCCTGGCTTTGCATGCACAAGAAGCTTCTGCTGCAAATCTGATGTTCGGGGACCATTTAGCCAAAAAGGGGTGAACTTTCAGCAAAATCTGTGCCACCTGATGGTCTCAGGAAGAAACGAAGTAAAATTAAAACCAGGCAAGGCTTGAGTGGTGTTTAGGTTAATGCACCGCTTTGGCAGGAGAACAAGTGGGACAAACTGCTTAAAAATTTGGCTGGAAATTAGAGCAAGTAAGTTCACAGACCACCAGAAACATTTCTGGATGGAGACGGGTCTGTTCGGGACTTGTAAGCACGATACCTGTAATTGCAGGGATGGCACCCGGTGCCGCAAGAAACCTGTTTCATTTCTGAGTCCTTCACCTCCATCCAACTTTCTTTAAGCCTAGTGGTAGTGCAAAGGGCGAGCTGGACCCAGATGAGGGACTCGCTATCCTTGTTCCCTTTTTTTTCCCCATGCCCATATGAGAAACAGGGTCTTCTTTGATAAACATAGCTAACAGACTCTTTGAGCAAAAGTATGTCTGGGACCCAAGGAAGCTGTGTGCTGGATGCAGGGGGAAATCCGCTTTATTTGTGGTTTAAATGCAAAAAAGCATCATATGGGCAAGATTTCTGGAAAACAATGTCTGTTTTCCAAAATTCAGATGGCAGCTTTTGCCGGGGGATTTCCGTTCTTGTGCAAGCAAACTCCTTGCTTCTCTGATGTCCCAGTGAACTCAAAGCTTGGCCAAGGGATCCCTTCCTCAGTGGGATTTAGGCTTGACAGGGAAGTATGAAACGGCTGCTTTATTGTCAGGATCCTGCTGCAGGGATGGAGAACCCCAGCCCTCCTCCATCCCATGCTGAGAGCTGATGGAAACCTCTCCCGAGCTCTCCAGATAGTCCCAGCTCCTTGACAGGAGCACACAGGAGACTGCAACAAGCCCTAAAGCCTTTGCTCAGTACTGAGCCGATTTCAACAGGACTGTTAGGGTTTAATCTTTTCTACCTTGTTTGTATACCTACAAATCAACCATCTTGTACGGGAGCTCAAAAAATCGAGCTCCTGGTAACTACAAAGGGGTTCGCTGTCTTCTCCCCCTTGTTTTTCATTTGCTTAGCTCAGATGGAGGGGCTGGAGTGATGGACAGACTGATCTAACTGTCCAGCACTTAGAAATGAAGTAAAAAAGCTGAGATCAGAAGAAAATTATTAAAACTATTATTAAAGCCTTCTTCCGTGCAGCTTTTTAAACTCCTCCTACCATATAAAAGGAGAAAACCCTGTGGTCCATATTTTCATGGAAAACATGCAAACCTGCCACGTGCCATCTTTGCCGAAGGCTTCACTCACAAGAGGCGAGGATGGAGTTAACCAGGCAGTGAGCTCATCCTGGGCCATAATGAACAGCCTCAAGTTTTCCTAAGGGACCAGGCTGGCTCCATCGGATTCACTTTGTCTCTCAGGTCAATATGTAATCAGGCAGCTTTTGGGTTTTTTTTTTTAATGCATCTTTATCTTCCTATAGGAGGAATGTTTTCTCCCTCCATTACAGAGGTTCATGTATTTTTCAAATGGCAAAAT